CAGCCCCATGGCGTTTCCAAGGCTGCCGTCTTTACGGGAGCAGGTTCTCCTGTGGAACGGTCAATGGGTTTGAACCATCAGCCTTAGGATCAGCAGCCAAGTGCCTAATCACCGCACTACAGGGCCCCTACTGGAGACCATCACACTGGAACGCACGCCCTCGCACAGATCCAGGCCAGGCAGCAAGAAGGAAGCTTCTCCGCTGGCCAACGACTGACTCCCGGGTCCTGCGCCTTCGTGCCGAGGTAACCCAGGGAAAAGCACTCCAGAAAGAGGAAAGCCACACGGCTGGGCCGGCCCGGAGGCTCGAACGCGAGCTTGCCCAATCACCTCACAGCTGGCGACGGAAGCTGCTCGGTGGCGCCCCTTCCTGTGGTGCCCACGGCCCCTGCCATCCGTGCCATCCCTGCTGCCCCTGCCACCCGTGCCATCACTGCCATGGCCTCCGCCATCAAGCTTTGTGAAGCCTGGGGACGGCCAGGGCTGACGCTTCGTGGTAGGAGTGGACGGTGGGCACGGTCCTCCTGCACACTCACCTGGCCTGGCCGCCCCCAGGGTCACAGGGCTGACTACGTGGAGGGAGGGAGCTGCCTTCCAGTGGGGTCCGGGAGCAGAGCTGCACAGCTGGAGTTGGTGGCCGGGGACGTGGTTAGAGACATGTCCATGATATTTATGAGCTGTAAACTGTGGAACAAAGTCAAGTCTCAACTTCCTTACACTGAAGTTTCTTAAATCATTCATTTGTAGAGTCTCAGGTAACCGAAGGTCTTGACAGTGGAAGGTCCTGCAGGCAAGAGCTGATGTCCTGTCCACACAACGCCCTGGGTCGGTTTTTCCTAACTCCTTGGCAGCACCGGGCCCTTTGCTTTCTGGGTCTCGTCTTTTCTCACGATTCTGCTTGCTAACGTGGCCCCCAGCAGGTACTCACCGAGGACAGGAAGCCAAAGCAACTCTGTGCCCAGTTTCTCATTATCCGAAGCACAACAAAATTAAAAGCACTGGATCAAAGTGCATTTCAGGTCATTTCTATACAGCAGGTTTGGATGGCCTGCCTTTGTCCCCTCCTCCCCAGACTGACACTTAACAGGTGACATCCAGCTGATTCTGACACGTACTGTCCCCAGGTGACAGAGTAAGACTGCCCCACAGGGCTTCCTAGGCTGTCATCTTTATGGGAGGAGATTGCCATGTCTTTTTCCCGGCCAGCCACTGGTGGGTGTGAACCGCTGACCTTCCTGTTGGCAGCTGAGTGCAATATAAAAACAAGCTTTCTTTAAAAGCACAGTCTTAGGGAAACATTCTATTCATCTTCTTCATTCTCTCTCTTCTGCCCCTTTCTTTGAATTTTGTGTCATGACCGTGCTGCTGGAAGACGTTAAAAAGTCACTCTGGGCCCCACCCCTCATCTCACAAAGGCGCTGCTCACCCACGAGTCCCCTCTTCAGCTCAGTCCTCACGCTTGACTTAGGCAGGGAGGTGTCCAGGAGTTAGTGGACCGCCATTCGGGTATCTGGCTGGTCGACCAGCACCTTCACTGCACAGTCTGGCAGGGCTCTGCTGTCCCTTGGAGAAGGCTTGAGGCTGTGCTCTGCATCGAGTGACACAATGACTGTTTCTCCTTGCTTACCTCGCCCCCAAAGTAAAGCAGAGGAAACGAGTGGTCTCTGGAGCCTGCAGGGGTAGTGAGTCTGGGTCAGGACTCCTGCGGCCGTGCTTGGCCACCGAGGAGGGAGCCCAGCAGCTGTCACAGTGGTCCTTCTCAGCCCATCCTGTGCCCACGGTACCCTGGGATCCTGTTGCAGTGCAGGGTGGGGGGCATGGTCCACACCTGGAGTAGTGAGCGCAAAAGAAAGCCCAGGGCTGGGGGTTTGGCAAAGCAGCGAGGGGCTCCAAGGAGGCAGCAAACACATGGCGGAATGATCATCCCTGGGGCCCAGCCGGTCGAGGAGGGAGGGAGGCCAAACGAGGCCCACCCCCAGCGCCATCAGGGGCAGACGGAGGAGGCAGGAGGGGCACGCATGGCCCAGCAGCCCATTTCACAGCTCAGAGGTGCGGGCTTCACACGACACGCGGACTAGCACCGGCTTCCTGACCGGACACGCAGCTGGTGTGGGCTTCCTGACCGGCCACGTGAGCAGTGAGGGAAGGAAAACCTGGCTGTGCAGGTGGCCCGGGAGTTAGGAGGTGCACACGTCCCGGGCTCACAGGCCAGGCTCAGGATGTCCATCTCCTGCCAACCTCACACTCCCTCCCCTCTGGCTAACACATCATCTGAGAAACACCCACTTCATGCACTCGTTCAACAAATACTCGTCTTTCGACTCAACCCATCTCATCTGGTCTCATGGTTCAAAATTCCTTTCACATGCAGGTGACTCCCAACGGATCCTTCTAGCCCAGACGCCAACCCGGCTGAGCTTCAGGCTTGGTGTCCAACTCTGGCCCAACGTCCTTGCTTGATGTCTAAGACACATCTCAGACTCTCATGTCCAAGGGGAGTGGAGTCTCCCCACAAAACATGTGCTGTCTGTCGCAGTTGAAGGAATTCTGTCTTCCCGTGGTTCAGACTGAAGACCTTGGAGTCACACCTTCAGGCTCAAACCTTGACTCCTTTCGCTCCCATCCCACAGGCAGCGCCCGCCAGGCATCCTTCAGGGCCACTGCCTCGCCATCTTCTCTGCACCACCCTGGGCTTCGCCACCTCCCTCCCTCCTGCAGCCTCTCCCTCCAGGCCACTCCACACAGGCCAGCATGTTACCTTCCTTCAAAGGCGGTCACACCTCTGTCCGGCGCCCTAGGTCTCCTTTTCCAGCAGAGCGGAACCTCAGTCCTCTGTCTTCAACTTCTGGGTCACGGACCCTCACCCACTCCATCCCGGCCCTGCCGGCCTCCTTGCTATCCCCACAGCAGACCTGGCCCTTCCCTAGGCCTGCCTGGTCCCCTCTGCCTGAAAGGTCCTCCCACGAGGTATTCCCATGGCTTACTCCCTCCCCTTCCAGTCTGGTCAAACGTTACTTCTCGCTGTAGCCAGCCATGACCTCCTGTGCAGAACAGCAACCTGCCTTCTGCCCCCCCCCCCCCCTCCCCGGCCCCCTTCCTCTGGTCCCTAACATGGGATTCCTGTACGTATTGTCTATCCCCCACACTAGGATGTGAGCTGCAGGAGGGCAGAGCCTGGTGCTCTGTTTTGTTTGGGGTTCATTAATTCAGGAACAGACCCCGAGTGTCCAGACCACCCCCGGCCCCTGTTGAAGGTGCACGGAGGCCTGGGGTGAGGCAGGCTTTGCTCCGGTTCTCAGTTCATAGAGTGGACCACATACGCCATCCTCTACCCCTGTGATGCTTACACACACCCCTCTCGTGGGCACGTGCAGACAGACAAACCAGACGACAGGAGACATGACAGTGGGGGACAGAGCACAAAGCAGGTGTGGGCAGTGACGGTCTGCTGTCCTTCCCTGGGCTGGGGGCGGCTGGCCTAAGACCCAGGGAAGCCCCCACAGGTGCCCCAGAAGTCTCTCTGATGCACGCGTACTGCAGAGTCACCTCACGGGCTAACTTGGAGAAGCGTTGCTGTCACGCTGAGGACGGTGAGGGGCCAGGTGTGCTGATGGCAGGGCCACAGACAAGGGCACAAGTGGGCAGGGGCTCTAGGGGAGGGCAGAGTGGCTTCCCAGAGCAGGCGAAGGGCCGTGCCCAGACATGCTAACCCCTCCCGGGGGCTGGTGACGTCAAGGACCCAGTAAGGCTTCGGAAGATCAATCCTATTGCTTGAGCAATTCCAGCTGCGACCATTAACATTTCATGAGCTAGAAAGCCAGTTGTATTTTTTCTTATTGAAACAACGACTCACTTGCTGGGCGATGAGATTTAACTTTGCGGGTACCGGCAAAAATCTTCTGACTACAGTAGTCACTGGCTTGGGGCCATCTGTAAAGAAGACAACTGAAGTTACTGACGACACACTGCCCTCCCCCACGTGCACACAGAGACAGCACGGACAGTGTCACGGCTCACGGACACATCCGTACCCAGCTCTTCAACTGCATCTCATTGATGCTTTTTATTCTGCAAAATCTTTTGGGTTCCTGTATTTGTGGACTTTTTTTTTTTTTTTTTTTCCAGTCATAAACTACTTGATCCAGGCTTCCAGTGGGTGATACCACGTTGGTGCCCAGGTTCCCAGGCACACTCGCAGAGGCTGTTGGCAACCTGGATTGTTGAGGGCCACACAGTGCCACCTGTTTGACACCACGTGAACGACTTTCCACTTATGCTCACTTTTTTCAAGCAGTTACTGAGTGGTCAGGGCAAAAGCACTTGCCAAGCTGTTTGGATCAAGCTACTTAATAAAGGCCGTGGAGAGACATTTCTCCACTCCATGGGCATCTTGAAAGAGTCCTAAGACACTAAGTGAGCCCCAGTGGAAGGAGACGTGACTTCAAGGCTCAACACACTGCTTTCGGACGGCCAGCATCCTCTCAGGGCTTCCTCGGAGACTCCGTAACACTCAGGGTGACGTTTAGTGTTTAGTGTATACACAGACATCCTCATAAACGGGGACCACACAGGTGTTACTATTACACGGCAAGGAGACCAATTTGCAGGGCACCATACAAACCCTCAAACGCACGGGGACTGGCTGTGGGCAGGAGGTGGCGGGGAGGAAGAGCTTCTCCCTGCCTGTGCTGAGAACCGCCGTGCAGCACCGTCCCACCGGACTCGCAGAATCCACAGCTGGGTGGAGCCGAGAGCTCTGGGGGCTCTGGGGAAAGACCCTGTTGGGAAGTGTTGGGATGGGACCCGGAGAAGGAGAGCCACACTCCTTCTCGCCCTAGACTCCAAGAGTTGGACTACTTGAAACTGCCTCTGAACTAGACATGCCTTGGCATCACTGGCAGGCCAGTGACTTGAGGGTGGGAAATGAGATGTCCGTGTAACGTGGTTACTCTCAGTCCACACAGAGGTGCTGTTTTCAGGAATAAGTGTCTAACTTTGTCAAGTGAATTCCTCCGACTATGCCATTGAGTCGTTCTCTAACAGCTCACAGGCATTTTAGGATAACCAAGTACTCAGAGGGCACTTTTCCTGCTGTTTCTGAGCAAGTGAATGTCAGATGGGCTGGTGTGTGGTAGTCATTTTGAAACCCATGGCGATCCAGCCAGAGTGAGCATGCTCACTGATACGTCCACATGTTCATATCAACGTGTCTGAGCATACCAACCCGGGGAAGGGGCACTTTCCACCGGAGTCCCCCCACTGCGCAATGACCCGGACACCCAGGTGGGCATGTGCCTGCCAATCAAAATCTTCCTGCAGGAAATGAAATAGAGCCTGACTACCTGAGCTGGGAGACAGCACCGCAGGTCCCAGGGCTGGGAGCCGGTCGGCAGAGATAAGGGTCCGCTGTGCCTGCCTCACGCG